ATGGGTTTAAGTGTGGAAATTTCCCTAAACTCATTTCTTTGCCCACTTGATCTCAGCTTGACGACACCACAATCATGTTCAATCAAGCCTCAAATATTGCTGACCCTTAATGAAAAAGTTTGCCCACAAACTCCAACACACGCTAAAGCAGTTTAGACTATTTGTAATTGTTAGAGTCATGATAGCAAAGTTTAGTGAATATGGAATCTTTAGGGAGAACCAGCTCAACTCCACTCCACTTACAACACACCATAAAACAAAATTGCTCTCCCGAAAGGGCCAAGCATTTGTGAAAAGAATGGCTTGAACTATGTTCTCATTTTGTCACTAACATTAAATGAAATAAAAGAAGCGATAAAGATGTACAATAAAATTAATTTATTAAAAAAAAACAACTAGTTTAAAACTCATACCAGTTATATACATCACTGATAGGTCTCTTCAATAGGTAAATTCCTCTTATACTCACTGAACTAGAGCCCTATATATTGCACTTACTTGGAGAAGAGAGCAAACATTATGAAGTCTTCCAACATGTTCAAACACTCAACCAAATGACCACCGACATGGTAGATTTATCACGTCAAGTTTTTCACAACTTGAATTTAATCTGAAAAAAGCTTACCATGCAGGAAAGAACAGCAAGATGATCAGGAGCAACGATGGAGATCCGGAAGATAGCCTTCTTAGCTGGCTCATCGAAACAAGGGAAAGCACGACGGGCAAAGGTTGACTGTTAAAAGCAAATATAACGAAAAATGAAAACTAATTAAGTAAGTCAACATGAATCAATAACGGCGATTTTCAAACCCAACTAAATATCACATTCGATCTATGAAACAAAAAATTGCAATCGTAAAACACAGAAATAAATAAATGGGTTAACCCTATATACGCTCAACGTTAACGCTTCTTCCGTAAGGTATTTGAAACTCAACACCACATTAATAGCAATTATATAATTACTTTAAATGAAAGTCATGCGCTTTGGTAGAAAACGGATAATAGACAAGTATCAAATTCGACTTTCATAATAGCTGTGGAAAAAAAGTTTTGATACCTTGTCTGGGTAGAAAACATTCGTTTTCGAACAATTTTCAAACAAATCATGTACTAATCAACTATCTCAATTTAAAATCTCCTCGATTTCTACAATTCTGCCTAAGTAAGGAATGAGGAGCAAAATATGCAAGGTCAATTTGTGGAAAATAAAACGACCAAATAGCTAACCTCGAATTGAGTAGCCAAGATGATACTTTCTTTTCCATCATCATTTTTTGTAGTACTACGATAGAAACCATGCATGTCATCAGCCATAATACCCTTGTACTTCAGAGTAAGATCAATTTCACCCTTCTAAAGACCATTGTCAATGTTGAGAAACCAAGAAAAAGTAGCTTTACCGATATAGTGGCATCAAAATTTATAGTCAATTTTTCCTGCTCATCATCGTACTCTATCGCCTTTTCCGAGGCTAGAAGATAACCAGGACAAAAGATAACTAATCAATTTTACCAGCCAATTCAAAGTCTGAAGTCTTGATTTTGGCGTTGACAACTTCGAGTTTCTTTGCATTTAGAATAAATTGCTTAGTGCATTCCGAAAGTGTCATTGAAATGGTCACTAATCCCTGGAATGTCGATTCCTTAGCATTTGGATATAGTTCCAAAGTATACACTTTTGGAGTATAGAAATTTGGAAGTCTTTCGAAACAGGATTTGCAAGACGACATTTCGGCACAACACAAAGGCACAATTGACTAGCGTAATCTAATTTGGTTAAAAACTGAGTTAGTGCATTAAAATAACATTTAATAAATAAAAAGTCTCTAAAATTGTCCCATTTATCATAAATATTGTAAATTTTAAAATATAAAGAGATTAAATTATGTAATACATAACTACGAATTAGTAATTGTATTTTTTGGGTAGCTATCACATAAAGGAGACTCAGTTAATTTTAAATTTGCTCCCTAGTTTTTTCCTAATTAATCACAACGTGGATGATATTATTTCTATTGTTCTGCTTCTGTTGCATATTAAATTGACTTAAACATCTTATACGGATTAACATGTTGGCGAAACATGAAATATGATAAATATTATACCCAATCTTCAATTGTTTTATTTACTGATCCAAACGAGCATAGAACGCTGTTTATTTACTGTAATATAACTTTTCAGTACAAAACTGTGTCGTTAGCCTCCTTATTCAAACGAAATATTTTTCTCTTTTTTAAATAATTGTACCGCCATAAAAATTTTCAAAGATCGCTACAGTATTCCCATGTGTGCAAGTCTTTGTGTATGTTCACATTTGGCTGATTATACAAGTAACATCGCGACATCGACTGACCCGCATGACAAATTTCGTACGAAAAAGCGCATGCATGTAAATCCAGGTTTGTTTATCAATATGATAAGGTGGATGCATTGTTGTCACCATATTAATCAAGCAAAATACGTGAAATGACTGTCTTGTGTCCACTCCACTGCGTCTTTGCTAGCAAATTTACTAAATAATTTTTGCTAATTCGGCGTATCTATATTTGAGTGAGCATTAATACTTGACCGAACTGAGCCTACCAATTATATTTTGCTTCTATACCATTTATCGGCACCATAGTCATATTGGTTAATACTATTTATAACTAAGAATAACAAAGTTTTACGTTTAGTTATCCCTTTTGTTCAATGAGTAAAATGTCTTAATAGGAGTGTAGGTAGACATAGATCTCAAAGTAATTACATGTCCTAGAATTTGTTCCAATTCGTTTGACAGAGCAAAATTTTTGACATTTCATTTCGCTCACCGAAACTACGCTAATTAAATATTACTGATGTTTCAGCATGAGGAAAGATGGTTAAAGTATTGATGCTAAAATCCGTCATTGGCAAAATATATTTAAAACTACTATCTTCAGGACTTTTTAGATGTCTCTAGTGTATCCATAATCACGAATAATGAGTGTAGGTTATTTCTATTTTAAATCATTTTTATGATTACTTATCAGGTTATTGAGATTTAAGAAAGTGCTAATTAGACAAATATATGACCATTATTTTCGAATGCAATAATAGATTAACTAGTAGACTCAGTCCACCACACCGCACATAATTTTTACATCTGCTAACTTATCTAGTTTAATACATGCCAAATATACTCCTTAATGAGCTCTTAATGGCAGATTAGAAACATTTTATTCTGTCATATTCGGTTAAAACTGTAAATGTTGTTTTAGCATTTTATTAAGTAAAAATTGTTTAACAAACATTTGTGATGGATAGTGAACAGTTAGGATGCTAATCGATCATTAGTATCAAATAGTAAACAACTGCGTTGCAGTGATTTTTAGCTAAATACGCAAAGTTTACGGGTTCATTGTCATATATTTACTTTTCTTTGAGTTTATTACTTATAGGAGTAATTATTATTAACCCATAATAGGAATGCACACAACAATATTCCTATGGAAGCCCAAAATATTTTAAAGGATTTTGAGACATACAAAATATGAGACGGCACTATTTACTTGAAGCATAATAATCAGATGCGTAGTTCATGATTTTACTGAAATTAATTGATCAACCCAAACAAAATATTGTTTATAAGATAATTTTAGTAACGAAAGTAATTACAAGTTTTTTGCATGCTGCGTTTATTTTGAATTAATTCGTCCTTGTGGCGTTTAATTGCATTGCAATTGTTTTAAATAGCTTGAGCATTTATATAATTGGCTTTAAGTGACGCGAAAATGAAATACCGGTATTTGAATTTAATCTAAAGAGTAAATAAATGTGCGTGTTCTGCTTCGTCAAATTCATTATTCCTTTTAACGTTAATTTTTAGCGTGATTTTACCAAAAAATGTTAACGATTGCTGTTCAAAAACCATTTTCGAGCACTTGGTGAGAGAAATGTCCTTTTTATTTTCTTAGACATGCGTAGTTGATAAAGAGTTCATTGCAAAGCACTTATCTCAAATTGTAAGGTCTACTTAATCTCATTAAATAGAGTCTTGATGAAATTAGAATACTTACGGATACCCTCACCGTTTTGGAATTGAAGTACGCTTATTGTGAGGATATATTGCTGAAAGTTCTGAATTTATGTGGAAGGAGATTTCATCCTCACTCTGCTAGAGATATATCTATCTTCTCAAACGACCTGCAGCTCCTCTTTTCAAAACTAGGTACAAATGTTTTGAATCTTATTTTAGGTAATTTTCTGAAAATCGGAAATCGGCATGTCGTTCGTAGTGTGATTTGTGTCGTGAAGGCACACCTCAACATGTCGAAATCTTTCGCAATTTCTTGCATTGAAGATAGTGCTTTTGTTCCTTTATTCGTCAACTTTATAAACAGCAAGGAATCCCATAATTTCAAATTGGAATCATTGGAGCTGATTAGACTTCTGACTGATAAATGTTGTATGGCAGGTCTCATTTTTTTATTTCAATCTCTTAGCCTGTAAATTATCGGATAAATTGACTGACATGGATATCTTTGCCTTTTGTAAATGTGTTTGTAAGGAGAACGCACTGTTAATAAATGAATCAATTTCGATGACTATTGCACAATTGTCTCCTAATCAATTGAGGAAGTGCTCTGAAATAGACCCAAATATCGTTGAATTTTTTATTTTCCAAATCGATCGTTACTTAAATTACAACGGTACAATTGCACCCAGTCGTAAAATTCTCCAACAAAAAGCTGCTCTTGTCAACCTTAATTGTTATTTATCAACTATCGATTTGACTAATCAAAAATTACACGAGGAACACGAACGATTTCTAATTGAAAGATTCAAAGGGTTAACTTACGAAAAACGATTGAAAGCTGAGCATTTTGATCTCCTTTCCTGTTATTTACTTACCTTTACTCTAAGCTACAGTGCAATGGTTAGTTGTCTCTACTAATTAAATTTTAAATACTAAGACATTAACTGCTCTCTTAGAAGTAGCATTGAATGCATCAATGCCTGATTTTATAAAAAAGCAGGCTTTAACCTGCACTGCAGAAATACTCAGGAAGTATCATTGGCCAACTACCGAGGACATAGTTGCAAAAAGTATTATTGCATTAATAAATGAGCGTAAGTTCTTAATCTATTTTTTACATTGTACTTTCCAGTCGTTAATTACGCTGACCATAACGAGGCTCTCAGGGTGGAAGTGGTTCAGCTCTGTTTCTCAATTGTGAAACCCGAAAATAAACTTCTAATTGACGTACGTTTAAAGCTTAAATGTTAATCATATTAAATAGCTACACAGACCTTTTGAAAGTCAAATACCATGAAAATGTGTTTAAGCCAAGAATGCTAGCCTGAAAGTCTATTTCAGTCACCTCTCGAAGCCTCTTTGACAGATTGACAAAAGTTTAGACATGCAAATTTTCGTTCTTTCCCAGAGAGAAAATTAAATTTCTCTGGAATTCAAATTAAAATTGATTGGACAGCATAAATATTTGACAATTGACGGATATATACGTTCAATCATTTTCAGCTAATTATCTCCTAACAGAAGTCGTTAGCAGCATATTATATTTATATTTGGTCATAATAAATATTGTCCATTTATTTTGAGATTATCAGAACAAATGTCAACCCATTCAAAGCTAAGTAGAGTATTCAAATGAATAACATAGCTTAGGTCTTCTCTTAATTTCGTAACTCCATCGGGGATTTTACGAAAAGTTCTTGAATGAACAGCCAATCAGAAATTCATGGGAACACCTATTAGCTTTATTTAATCTTAACTCCCTTCTCTATTTTGACATTGTTTTATATAGCTTTGAGGCTTTCATTTCTGACGTCTTAACTTCACCATTCACCGTCTTCTTGACACAATTTAAGTGTCATTCTGTTTTCTATTCAGTGTCTATCGCAGGCACTACCTCAGGGGGCTACTTACTGTTCTTTCCTTTCTTTCTATTCAATATTTCGACATGGGGTGCGCGACAGACTTATCTCCATGTGGTGTACCCTGGGCAACGTATTCTCATACGGCAAAAAGTCTATAAACCGTCAGTTGACTTCTGATTTCAACCTACCATCACCCCACTGTATGTCATATTCGACTACTTCCACAGTACTCACCTCACCTTTTTTCTACCTTTTCTACCTTCGTCCTTGAAACACTCTTCTTTCCCCCCCCCCTCCTCCTCGAATTTTTCTCACTTTGATATTCCTCCTCCTCTCTGTGATGCCTGAAGTCAACTAAAGGGCTAATGATAACTATCAAAACGCCTGCCATTTGATTTAAATAAATAAATATTTCGGCATTTTCGCGAGGATCCTTTTACGGTTGTTCCTTTCACT